AACTGCATACACACCAATATTATTTCAACCAGTGTAAGGTCTGATATCAAAATGGGTACTTATCAAGTACGTCCCTTGAAGAAAAATTCAAAGATATCCAAATTCGTGCGCTTAGTTTAAACCATATCGAAGATACAAAATGCTGAGGACTAGACAAAATGCATTCTTGGAAAATAATTTGTGTGAAAAAAATATGTAGACGCGCTGCCAATACCAGAGAAATACAAAAATGAAAATTTAAAATTGTATTCCTTAAACGTGTCCATTTCGGAGATTGCTGTCTTAGAAGATAAAATGCTCAACCAGACTAACTCTGTTGTTATGACATCGTAAAAAAAGAGATGAATCCACCAGGTAGCCATATTTCGACCCTGTAATGGCCCTTCTTTCTACGTTTATGTCTTCGACTTTATGCTAAGAGGTTCATAACCGTCGGTTATTCGACTGATACTTCCTGACGTTTTTGCCAAAACTTTTTGCTTTTGTGTAGCACAATTTCGAACGAACCGAAAAGTGTCTGGTGTATCAAGGTTGGTGAAATGTAAACTTAGTAAGGCGTCAGGATCATAATTTCTATCACAGCACACAAAGGTAAATTCGTTAAATATGTACTGCCATTTTTTTGCACATTTCCATAACCAAAGAATATTTTTAAACTCCAGCTTAATAGCACTTTATTAACCAATAATGCTAACATATTTTCCCGATTATAACTTTGCCGTCGGATAGCAAGGATTACCAAAAATATTGGTTGGAAAATTGGACTACATTTTTATTATGTTTCGTTTGATTCTTTTGCTCCCGTTTACCGCATCAAGAGCTATGTTCATAATATAACATTTGTCGTTGGGTGCAGAGGGTATATTTTGCACATTTTATTTATTTTTCTTTTTGCAGTAATTTAATAACTTCCCTAATTGAGTTCAAACGTCGGCTCATTTTTACCGAACAAAAAACATTTCCATATAGGAATACAACGTCTCTATCGAAAGAAATATTTGATTATTAGATCGCATTTAAAAATATGTACATTCGCCCATTTTCTTAAAGATCCCGAAATGGCAATTGAATATCGAAATAGGTTGCAGCGAAACTGAACCTAAAGGTGGGCCAAACATTGTCGATATACTACAAATTTTTGTCCTGTACACAAAATAGAAATGGATTTTGTCGTGATTTTAACAGATGGATAAATTAAAATTGCGTTTGAATTATACTTCGACGTCTTATTCTTCAACGTTTGGCTGCGACTATGAAAATCGTACTTTCAATGTGTTAACGCCCCAAAATATATTTTGAAACCAATGCATTGATACTATGCACTGGTGGAGGTGATGTATTGTTTCGTACCTTTCCCACAACCTTGGTTTCCATTTTGCGGTGTATTATGCACGCAGGAAAAAAATAACTCCCCCCAAAAAAATAGTTAGTATGGGTCCACAACCTACGTTTTTTTTTTTTAACTCGTGTCTGATTTGAAAGATAATTAGTTTATCCTTTCGCCGAACGAATATGGTTGAGTACACGCTTGGACAACGCTGGAAAATAATGCGATATAACTTTGAAAGTTCTGGATAATATTACAGAATTGCGTACGGATTTTGAAAGAAGAGAAGCACAGTCAGATCCATTTGTAAACAAGCCAAACTGTCATATTTAGCCCACAGAAGACCCGCACGCGTATATTGCAAAGCCGACGCACCCAAAACGACTCGCTGTTAGTGCGGACATTAGCAAGGAGTTGCCGTTACGTTATCGGGTAATGTTGAACGACTTTTTGTTTACAAAAAATGAAGAGGTGAAAAAGAGCTTCTTGCAACACAGCCGAAGTTAAACTCGATTTTGAAAAAAAAAAAGTTATTTTGGCGGATCCGGTTGTTGTTTTTGTGAGTGCTGCTTTAAAAAGCTGAATATATTCCTGGTCCCTCTCCTGGTCTATGTTTCATGCTTAAGGGAGGCCAATGATGTTTGTTAAGAGGACACTTTATATTTATATAAAGGTTAAGTATAACAAACTGGTATTATTTTTTTAGGTTTTGGTATCGATTCATACCATCGCATTATATCAGATGAGGTATTATATAATCTTACAGAATCGATTCGAATCCAAATGGGATATTGCGGGCCACCTAAAAAATTGAGTTATGTTTAGTTTATTGCCCCGCATTGGATAAAAAAAAATAAAACAGCCAATTTTTATCCACACACATAAACATGCATTCCCTATCAATAGCCACAACAATCTACATACTAATATTTATTATTTTTCCAAATGAGTATCCGAATAGATTGATGTTATACTTTTTGGGTTTCTGTATCGGTTGTTTCCTATATAAAAAAATACCCGGAGCTCAAACAGCCAATCCGAAATAAAAAGCCGTACAAAACCAGAACCCCACCAGAATGTGACATGACAAATAATCATAAAAACAATTTAGGAAAAGCCACTCACGCCGAATTCAGCTCTCATTCACACTGTCACGAAGTGGAATAGGGCACAGGTGGCAGCCTATTTTTCGTCAATGAGGAGAATGGCGGGGGGAGTTGTCGAGTCGAATGGGTACGCTGTGTTCCCCATTACTAAATTCTGGAGTTTGGTCAGTTGTGTTATTGCCACAAGGATTTTTGTGCATTCACTGATTGCGGGTTGCCCACAAACCAACCCATACTTATTCTCACACACACACACATACACATGTAAATAGTTCATTTTGGTCCCACTCAATGTTTGGTGATTTGACTATAATATGCACCACACACACACGCACACACAATTTAAGCAAATTATTGGCACTCACACAGACACACCTTAGCTTATGGGCATGGACCATAAAACTGTAACTGACTCAACGACCTGTTTTTTAATAAAAACAAGTGGACGAAGCGTGGTTCGTCCCAAAAATAATAGAACCCAACGCAAAAGAATGGTCCGGACATCAGTCGAGGCATTAGACATTCGTTTACAATGCAGAATGAAGTAAGGGCCGTGAAAATGCTGATGTCAACACCCTGTTGTAACGCCGCCGGCGGTTGTGCCGACGATACTTCCTGTTTTGTATATTATCCAGTGTGTTTCAGTTTGTAATCGGTCGAATTAATAACTCGCAACCCCCATAAAATATTTTTTAATTTCGATCCGAATTAAGTTAGAAGTCGAACAGGTTGACCGACAGACATCGCTAGACGGACCATTTATTGTAATCTCTTTATCTTACAAACAAATTGGGATAGAAAGTTGTTTTAAGCACATTTAACAGAACTGTACCGAACCCGCTCATATGAACAAGCATCCCGATATTCGGCACTTGGAATGTTATCAGCACAATTTTTGCAATTTGGAATTTCAATTTCATAAAGCGAACTTAATCCTGGACCCTTGGAAAAAACGTAGGACAAAAAGATTTTCCTTATTTGTTATGTTACAGATTTAATAGGACCTTGGAGATAAAAATAAACAACAGTAAGTTCGGCAGGGTCGAACTTTGAATAACCTCCACTATTTAGAACGAATTTGAAATTTTTGAAAAAGATAACATTCGCAAAACATTTTGTTAACATTTTAAAAATACCGAATATAGCCGTACGACTTGCACCTGCATAGGCATTGTTTGTCACAAGCCATTACCATATTCAAATTCGAAACTTGAAATAAACGGTGAATTATGTAGCCAAAATCATTAAAATACCGTACATAGGGCGGTACCTGGAGGGCATGCAAGTCAATTTTCTGTCACAGGCTGTAGCTTCCATTACGAACTTCAAATACGACATCTCAAACAATTTCGGTGAGTATTGTACCTAAAATCGTCAAAATACCGAATACAAGGTGGTACTAATATATGGGGCCTATACGAAGACCTGGACCTGCATAGACAATTTTCTACCTTAGGCTGTACTATCCATTTCGAACTTCAAACACCAAATCTGAAACAATTCCGGTGAATAATCAACAAAATACCGAATATCGAGAGGTACCGTTATATGGGGGCTGTATGAAAACGTGGATCTACATGGCCCATTTACGAACCTGCCTACTGGCAAAATAAACATGTGTGCAAAATTTTAGCCTTCTATCTCAATTCGTTCGAAAGATAGCGTGATTACAACAGACAGACGGACAGAGAGACAGACGGACGAATATGGCTAACAAGAATATATATACTTTGTTGGGTCTAAGATCATTATTTCGATGAGTTACAAACGGAATGACAAAATAAATATACCCTCCATAGTATGGTGGAGGGTATAAAAACAGTGATAAGATCGGTCTAGTCGAAGATTTTGTACCCCTTCACCATTGAAAAACGTACTAAGTCACGCTGATTGACTTTAAAATACCAAATACCAATTACATGAGCGATATACCAGAACTTTTCACAGTACGATCTTGGTCCTTTGAGCTATTTATATTTTTTTTAAGATTACTCCCGACTATTTCCAAAGACTAGAGAAATTATTTTTATAAAAGAAGGTGGTTGCGAATTATCAAAAATAACAATACCAATTCCCGATTTTTTATTTTTAACTTCTTAAGGTGCAAGTACAAAAAAAGCTTGAAGTCATGGCTAGGCATATTTATTGCCAAATTATAATGGAAAACGACGGCAGGATTTTAGTGCCGTTCTGTAATTCCTTTATGAAATGTCACAAAATATGCCTAGCCATGACTTTAAGCTTCTTCTTCTTTTTTTTTTTTTTTTTTTTTTTTTTTTGATTGTTTCAAATTTTTAAAACCAAAATTTGTTTTTACTTTTTTTCTGTGGTTTCAATCAATAATGGGGGCTTTATGCTTCACCCATGTGCAAAAGCTTTGCCCGTATTGCCATTCCGACAAAACATTGCGAGCGAGCCGTCATCTTTCGAGAAATATTTTGTTGCGTCAAGCATTGTGGGCAAGGACTCCCTTTTCAAGATCCTCGATGTACACGTTCTAAACCAACTCTGCAATCGTTTCAAAAGTATTCTAAACTGTCACATCCATTTGTTTTTGTTTTTTCTAGGAAGCTGCTCCTCCAACAGCTACTGCAGATGCCACCAACTCCGCCGAAAATAACACAGAAGGCGATCCATACGCCGGTATTATGAAAGATGCGGATAAGTTGAAGCTAATGCTTCTGGCATGGAATTATCAAAATTCGAATGCTGCTAGAAATGGCGCCGAAGGCCCAGACTTGAGTATTGTTGGTGGTCTTTGGGCCCAATACCAGAGTGCACTGGCCCAAAATGCTGCTGCTTCCAGTAACAAAATGGATTCGTCGTTGTCGCCCGTACCTAGAGAAGGAAATCCATCCCCTATGGAGGCACAGGACGAGACGAACTCCTCTGGACAAAAAGAGGAAGATGAAGGGTCAGAAGATGATTCCGACGACAAAATAGATGAAAAGCTGGCGCATTCTCACGATCCTGAACGTTTGAAAGCATTTAATGTAGGTGAATTCCTCTGAATAAAAAACACACACACAAACACTTATTTAACAACTGATGGCAATTTGGTAATTTATTTCCCTGCAGATGTTCGTTCGGCTATTCGTTGATGAAAATCTGGACAGAATTGTGCCGATTTCCAAACAACCCAAAGAAAAAATCCAAGCAATCATCGACTCCTGTGCCAGACAATTTCCCGAATTCAGCGATCGGTCCCGAAAACGTATTCGTACATATTTAAAGTCTTGCCGGCGCAACAAGAAGACCAGAGATGGTTGGGAAAATACGGTAAGCGGGACTCACGCCAGAGAGCCGTGCAACGTATGTTGTGTTTATTTATTTAACGTATTTCTTTTTCAGACCCGGCCAACACCAGCCCATCTAACATCCGTACAAGCAGAACAAATATTAGCCATTGCTTGTGAAAACGAATCGCTAAATGCTAAACGCATGCGTATAGGTTTGGAACCGATTACACATGCAATCCCGGCGCCGGGATCGGCTGTAGCCGCTGCTGCTGCGGCCGCTGCAGCTGCCGCGGCTGCTGTTGCAGCCACCACGAGTTCTGCCGTTTCCGTTGGAGGGGGAAGCACATCGTCCAATGTCACGTCAGCCTCCGCTAATGATGGTTCCAATGCCGCCAACTCCGCCGCCCTACCGTTTGCGACATGCACTGGATTTGCTCGTTCTACACCAAATTCAGATGCCCCCGAACCATTGTCTCTCACCCCAGCAGCCGCAGTATCTGCTGCAGCCGCAGCAGTGGTCGCATCATCTAGTGCAGGAAGTGGTGGCATGAGTTCTGCTCGCAGTTCGCCCCTAGCATTAAGTTCTAATGCCAGTGTTACCGGCATGGACATAAAGCCACTGGCTTCTGCGATAGCTAATGGCAATCCAGCACCCAGTGTCTCAGCGGGATTAACGGGTCTTACGGCCACAAGCCCTCTCTACAGACCAACGGACTTTACATCTCCCACATCGGCTTCTCCATTTGCGGCGGCTGCAGCAGCAGCTGTTGCTGGCCGGACGCAAACATATCCAACCTATTTTCCAGGTGTGACTTCATTGGGAAATGGTGAGTTCAAATTCCATCATAATCATAACTCTGTTCCTGAAAGTGCAGCTATTGCCATTATTGCAACTATTAACTGGAAAAGGGTTCTTGCGCATAAGAAATAACTTAAAAAAATCACAATTTATGTTAGGAGAAAACATATAAAAAAGCCGCTATATTTAAAACCCTCCATCATTTGGAAAAAACTTAAAAATTTTCAAAACAAATCCAAAAAATAAGCTTAAATGAAAATCGTATTATGGAGGCTATGCGATAACGTGGGCTTGCATACGAATTTTTTTGTCATAGGCTGTAGTACCTATTAAGATCTTCAAATGCGACATTTGAAACAATTTCCGTGAATAATGTCGCTAATATCATCAAAATACTATGATATACGAAAACGTAGACCAACACGTCCCATTTACGAACTTAACTGCCTACTGGCAAAACTCACACGTCTGAAAATTATTAACCTTCTATTTCAATTCGTTCGAAAGATAGCGTAATTACAACAGACAGACAGACGGAAGTCCCTAATTCGGCTTACAATTTTACGCTGATCAAGAATATATATACTTTGTAGGGTATATCATAAGTATTTCCATAAGTAACAATTGTAAGGACGAAGTTATCATACCCTCCATAGAATGGTTCTATATGATGAATTTGCCGAATTTTTGATATATTGTGGAGTATAGCGTATAAAAAAACTAGAACCTTTTTGATTTTTAAACATGTCCCAAATTAGCCAAAGGCATCTTTGTCCTTTCTGAGGAATACTTTATATTTTTAAAATATTTGTAGTATTTACGAAGGGATTCCAAATGCTAACTTTACTGTACTTCCAATTTCTTTGCAATAGTGACACCCACGGACTTATCGATGAAACCTTCCTGCTCCTCTGCCATCACTCCCATAACCCCAAGCAACCCAGTCAATGCCAACAACCAAGGCAACAACAACAATGCCAACAACATCAACAACTTGGCCGCACTCAATCAGCTTAATGTGAATACGAATCTGAACAACGGCAATACAACAAATACAAATAGTGTTTTGGCTTCAGCCACCCACCAGTTGCAACAACTTCAACAGGTGCAACAGCAGCAGCAACAACAACAACAGCAGCAGCAGCAACAACAGGAACAACAGCAACAACAGGCAGGTTTAAACATCAACAACACCATTGATGCAAACACCGTGCGACCACCATTGCTGCCCCACAAGCTAAGTCCCAACGAAATAACCGCAGCCCGCCAGGTGATCTCTGCTTACAGAGAGAGCGCCGCGTTCCTATTGCGCACAGCTGATCAGGTCGAGCAACTGCTGGTGCAGCAACAGTAAGTGTGGGTTCTATCCAACTGGATGGAGCAAATTTGGGCTTTGCACATGAAATGATGTTAAGAGTTGACCACGTCGGTAGCAAAGCTACACCAGCCACTTACTGAACGACCTTAAGACACGTCTCTTCAAACGATTGCATTCTTCCGTTATAAGCAAACACTGTTTCGTCAGAACCCTGCCGCAGTTGGTAGAGTGGAGTGCAAGCGGCAGGATGGTTCCTATTACCACATAAATGCAACTTAACCAAATAAAAAAATAGCCAAATATGAAAATAAAATATGATTCTCTCTCTCTATCTCTCGCTCTATCACTCAACTAACTACACTACAAGAAATAGTCAATATTAAAGAAAGAACAATAACATAAGCCCCCTAGAAAATCCTCCTTCTTCAGAGTCCCTTCGTTAGCCAACCACAAATCCGAATTCATTTTCCAATCAACGCCACTAACAGAGCAAAGTCTTGCTCCAACATAAAATATCCAAAAAGTACATACGAAGAATAAATGCAAACTTAAATATAGATACCAATATATAGCAACAAATCCATAAACATAAAAACAATAAAATATGATATCGAACAATAGGCTCCATATAACCGATCCCTATGCTGTCCCTCTACTTAGTCCAAAGCTTATTTTCAATTTTCCAATGATTTCCAACCACGATATGAAGTAAAACTGGAAGTTAAGCCGGCGAAAGAGAAAGCATATGCTATCAATTTTGTCTTCATAAAAATATTCCAACTTTTAAAAGAAAATTTGATGATAAAACACACAAACCAAAGTGTAGAAAAATAAAGTGTGATACAGGGTGATTTTAAAATTGCCATCTACTCACATTCTTCCCGCCCCATATTCACTGAAACAATCGAAAAACTATTTTAGGTGGTCTTGCTTTCCATTTGAAAGGCTATTTTGTTTTTCTTTACAATATTTAATATTTTAAGTTAAGTTTTAAAAAATAAAGAATTTGTTACAAACGAACTTTTACGAATAATAATATTAGCAGAAAAAAAAACTCAAAAGACGGCCTGGCATTTTTTCTCAAAACGTCATTTGTCCTTTTGCCCAATAACACAAACATCTAGATTTTTAATATATAGAATTTAATGATAAAAAAAACAACAGCAACAAAACATACTTATATATTTATTCATCCAAATATGTAATCAAAATATATTGAAAATATGCCGAAAAGTTATTAATTTTTTTAGTCCTTAATGTAAATTTTAATTGAAAACCACAAAAGCAGAAAAGAAAACACAAGCAAACATTTTGCAAAACACAATTTCGATTTTAACTGTGAACACAACTATTGGGCCACAAAACGGCAAAGGTAACAGTCAATATTTGTCAAATATTTAAATAGCATTAAAAATAAAGTACGAAGCTCCATAAGGTACATAGAAGACGATTTAATAATAAAAAAAAAACAAATTGAATTTATGAATTAAATGTAAAAAAATCATTTTGTGTTGCATTTTATTTGGAATCTTAAATTGGCAAAGTAATGATACTTTGAAGGTAAGTTCTTCGATACGCATTTTTATGTGCCGAGAATCTGAAACAACGAATCATAGTAAATTCGGCGATGCAAATGGGCCACACAACGGCAAAGGTAACAGTCAATATTTGTCAAATATTTAAATAGCATTAAAAATAAAGTACGAAGCTCCATAAGGTACATAGAAGACGATTTAATAATAAAAAAAAACAAATTGAATTTATGAATTAAATGTAAAAAAAAAACATTTTGTATTTTATTTTCTTTGGGATCTTAAATTGACAAAGTAATGATACTTTGAAGGTAAGTTCTTCGATACGCATTTTTATGTGCCGAGAATTTCAAACAACGAATCATAGTAAATTCGGCGATTCAAATGGGCCACACAACGGCAAAGGTAACAGTCAATATTTGTCAAATATTTAAATAGCATTACAAGAAATAGTCAATATTAAAGAAAGAACAATAACATAAGCCCCCTAGAAAATCCTCCTTCTTCAGAGTCCCTTCGTTAGCCAACCACAAATCCGAATTCATTTTCCAATCAACGCCACTAACAGAGCAAAGTCTTGCTCCAACATAAAATATCCAAAAAGTACATACGAAGAATAAATGCAAACTTAAATATAGATACCAATATATAGCAACAAATCCATAAACATAAAAACAATAAAATATGATATCGAACAATAGGCTCCATATAACCGATCCCTATGCTGTCCCTCTACTTAGTCCAAAGCTTATTTTCAATTTTCCAATGATTTCCAACCACGATATGAAGTAAAACTGGAAGTTAAGCCGGCGAAAGAGAAAGCATATGCTATCAATTTTGTCTTCATAAAAATATTCCAACTTTTAAAAGAAAATTTGATGATAAAACACACAAACCAAAGTGTAGAAAAATAAAGTGTGATACAGGGTGATTTTAAAATTGCCATCTACTCACATTCTTCCCGCCCCATATTCACTGAAACAATCGAAAAACTATTTTAGGTGGTCTTGCTTTCCATTTGAAAGGCTATTTTGTTTTTCTTTACAATATTTAATATTTTAAGTTAAGTTTTAAAAAATAAAGAATTTGTTACAAACGAACTTTTACGAATAATAATATTAGCAGAAAAAAAAACTCAAAAGACGGCCTGGCATTTTTTCTCAAAACGTCATTTGTCCTTTTGCCCAATAACACAAACATCTAGATTTTTAATATATAGAATTTAATGATAAAAAAAACAACAGCAACAAAACATACTTATATATTTATTCATCCAAATATGTAATCAAAATATATTGAAAATATGCCGAAAAGTTATTAATTTTTTTAGTCCTTAATGTAAATTTTAATTGAAAACCACAAAAGCAGAAAAGAAAACACAAGCAAACATTTTGCAAAACACAATTTCGATTTTAACTGTGAACACAACTATTGGGCCACAAAACGGCAAAGGTAACAGTCAATATTTGTCAAATATTTAAATAGCATTAAAAATAAAGTACGAAGCTCCATAAGGTACATAGAAGACGATTTAATAATAAAAAAAAAAACAAATTGAATTTATGAATTAAATGTAAAAAAATCATTTTGTGTTGCATTTTATTTGGAATCTTAAATTGGCAAAGTAATGATACTTTGAAGGTAAGTTCTTCGATACGCATTTTTATGTGCCGAGAATCTGAAACAACGAATCATAGTAAATTCGGCGATGCAAATGGGCCACACAACGGCAAAGGTAACAGTCAATATTTGTCAAATATTTAAATAGCATTAAAAATAAAGTACGAAGCTCCATAAGGTACATAGAAGACGATTTAATAATAAAAAAAAAACAAATTGAATTTATGAATTAAATGTAAAAAAAAAACATTTTGTATTTTATTTTCTTTGGGATCTTAAATTGACAAAGTAATGATACTTTGAAGGTAAGTTCTTCGATACGCATTTTTATGTGCCGAGAATTTCAAACAACGAATCATAGTAAATTCGGCGATTCAAATGGGCCACACAACGGCAAAGGTAACAGTCAATATTTGTCAAATATTTAAATAGCATTAAAAAAAAAGTACGAAGCTCCACAAGGTACATAGAAGACGATTTAATAAAAATAAAAAAAAATTGAATTTATGAATTAAATGTAAAAAAAAAACATTTTGTGTTTTATTTTATTTGGGATCTTCAATTGACAAGGTAATGATACTTTGAAGGTAAGTTCTTCGATACGTATTTTTATGTGCCGAGAATCTCAAACAACGAATCATAGTAAATTCGGCGGTGCAATTGTGTCATAGCGCCAAGATTATCCCAACGATTTCGCTAAAATTGTAATCTTCCAAATCGATTTATACAGAGTACCAAAGGCAAAGGTTTGCGACGCATTGATGTAATTTGGTTCAGCCTTATATTGGTAAATCTTGAGCTAAATGTATGTCCAATTTGTAAAGATATTCAATTCAAAAATACTTTTTCAAAGTACAACAGACGAACCAACAGTGGCATAGGAATGCTTCTTGTTGTTGTTTCCCTAGTAATCATCCTTCAAAAAACCAATTCGGTATTGAATTGAACTGACATTTAGTTTTTCTAAATTATAAATTTAGAAGTAAATTGAAATGCAAGGCTTCAACGACGCCGTTCAAGACTTTTTCACAAGTACATTTACAATTAAACGGCCATATATTTAAGATTATGGGCATATGTAAGTCTACGCAATTATTTCTCAAATATATTTATGGTGATTCCGTTTACTTAACAATTTGTTCGTTTCCTCAGTTGTCTATTGTCTTTTAACTTCAACAACATACCTATACGAGGGTTTGTAATGTTCATCCTCTCACTTCGGATCTGTCAGGCGAAGTACATACCTATCTCTTTACGCTCCAACAAATATCGACAAGAAATTCACTAATTGTATAACCTGAAAAGGAGGTGGACGTATGGCCTCTGCAAAAGAGTTTTAGAACGACCAGTTGATACCTTCATAAAGCGACAAAATATACAGTCGTAATTTGAATTGAAATTTAAAATTTCCAAAAACAATGAACAATTTACAATATGTTTTTAATAATAAGTATTGCTTCGACAAAAAGTATTCCATTGGGCTACTTCCTGTATATTATATATATTTGCTAATTTTAAATGTATTTCATTAAAACTTTGCCTAGCCGTAAAGGACAATATACTACAATATAATATTGATGATATAATTTTCAGGGGGAGATTATGCGCCAAAAAATTATTATAAGTTTTTAATTTGAGATTATGTAAAATGTTGATCCGTTGTAGAAAAATATCAGAAGTGTGTCAATATTGGCAATTTTAGCTCAATACTTAAGAATACATATTGCCCGTGGAAGAATGCATCTTATATTGGTAAAAAGAAAATGTGGTTCGATACTGCTATAGTGCAATGTGCAAATTTTGACCGAATCGTATACTGCCTTCAAGAGTTATCATAAGAACCAGTAAGACGGACGGACATCACCAGATCAATTCCAAACCACCTCAAATGGATTCCGTCCCGAGAACTAGGGTCTAAAACCGCAATTTCGATTATGCGCGTAGCCATAAAACTGATGATTTAAAAATACTGTGCCTTACCTTGTTTGGATCTTCAGACAGCATACACGTACAACTATTTCAACAAACCAGGTAACAATAGTTCCTTTTTTGTTTAAAGCTTTTTTTTTTGACAAATGTGTAACATGAACAGAGAGAAACATGGTTAATCCATAAGAAATTAAGACGAACATGAATCACTGATATTTACATCACTTGAACGGTAATTTGTTAATGTTAAATTTGACTCTTTTTTCTTCTTTTTCACTGTAGCACATAAAAAAAAATCAGAAACAGAATATTTTATTAGCCATGGTAACGTAACGACACAATTCTTTTTATTGCTTTTAGAACAAAACGATGCAAGCAAAGAATGTAAAAGATTAAAGACGCAAATGGAGAATGTGTCCGTTAACAAACGCAACAAGCACATCGATGTCCAAATTGAAATTTTTGATATTTATGGAATTCCCTGTTTAGTATTACTTAACTTGTCTTGTTCTTGTTATAATTAATTTGTTCAATAAAAAGTAATTTTACTGTGTAACGTACAAACAAAAGCCGAAAAATAATCCTTTAAATGACATTAGGTAGGGATATACAGTTCGATTGTTTCCCGTTCCTTTTTAAACGTCATTCATCAAGTTTAAATTCCCTCTATCTAGCTTATTTTGTTTTTAACCCCTGTCCATGGAGTTGCCATATTGTGGTAATGGGTGGCAACCATTCCCGGAAAAGTGTTGCTGAGCAGCTGATATTTATATTTATACCCGTGAGGGTAGCAACATAGACTTAATATCTCTTGTTACTTGTAATTTCACCCCAAGTACGATGAAATACACATATGGTAACATATTTCTGAAGAAAAAGACACGGCCATCCTTCTAACATTAGTGCTATGTTCCGCAACAGACGTAAAACCTTGCCTTAAAAAACGTACAACTTTTTACAACGATGACTGAAAATATTTTCTAATTATTGCAAGGATTTTCTTTCTTTGGCCTTTTTTGGAGTTGATGCATGAAACTTTGGCCGATTAATCGGTTAGCCGATTAATCGGTTTTAACCACAGTCCATAGTCGACTACGATTTTCAGAACTTTTAGTACTAAAATTCGATTAATTGAAAGTCGACCTACCAATCCCTATTTTAAAACCAAAAGACGCGCAACCTGGCCTTTTGAATTTGAGAAATCGCCATCATTTCATTATAACAAAAGTTTCGTTTTAAAGTCTAAAAAGAACCAAAACCAACTATGGGAGGTAAGCAGACAAAAATCGAATGCACGGATTTTACTACTCCGGCGAGACCGAAACCAGATGATATCAATATGTTCGATCCAAGATCGCCCAACTTTTGCAGAACTCCAATCGAAGTAAGTTCTGACTTAAGGCTTTGTTTTCCATAATCTTATCTGTTTATTTCAGATTGCATCGGAGAGTTCTAGTACTGGAAGAATGGACGTGTTGCGCAAGCGTTTCTTGAAAGGATTTACTTACAGTATCAACGATCCAAGATCACCAAGCCTTAATCGAACGCCTTTAGTATTAGAGGATTCCAATGAAAGATCTTTGAATTTAGACGATACGTTTGCAGATTTATTTATTGGTCCGAGCCTTCCTACTTCTCAGGTTGCCGTGCAAAATGCCTGTGACAGTGTGGGTATAAGTGGGGAACACCAAGTTCAAGCAATTGAAAAATTACCAACCACACCGGTTGCAGTTCAACAACAATTTGATCCTCGTTCACCTTCTATAGGAGTGGATCGAACTCCGATTATATTCAGTGACGATGAAAATGAAGCAAGCGAGGATGTTGTACTCGAAAACATTCTGTCAAGTCTTACGCTTAAAATGGATGAAAGTGGAAGCGTTGTCTCTATAAAAACACCGGAAGAGACTAAAGTGCGAAACGAATCTGAACTTGTACTGAAACCAAGCAATAAACAGTTGGACCGTGTTAGGAATGGCAAGAAAGCTGTAACAAAAGGTCAACAAAAAAGGCAAAAACAGAGGCTACGGCAAAAAATTTATGAAGATTCTGAAAATCATCCCTCAACTCCGAAACTAAAGGTTTCCAACGCTGGTGTCACTGGCCTAAAGAATGCACGAAGGACTCCTTTAAGTTGCGTACGGAATAGCTCACAACTGCGGTCACGCTCAGTTGATTCTCCAGGAAAATCAAATAAAACTAACACCGTGATTATGAGCAATGATGATGCTCTAATACCAAATGAACGTTTTAGAATCTCCAATGTCATGTGAACGCATTACACATTATTCGCTTATTTTCTAAACTAAAATGATAAATAACATTGAAATAGATAATACTATTAGTAATGTAATATTTAGCACCACTTTTATGCACAAAACATGGTGTGCCAGATAATTTAAACTACCGTACGTCAGACATTTAATTCATTTGATATACCTAATATAGAAAGGCGACGATTTAATATATCAAACCTTTGCAGTTATGTTCAGAAATATGTATAACTTAATTACGTTAATATTTTAAAATATATCCCAAAGGAGGCCATTATATTTTGAACACTACTGTGTATTTGCGCAGTAAAAGTATATAGATTAATATACAAAAACTTTTATTTTTTAATAAAAATGCATGCAATCATTGAAAAAGAACGTTGTTGTTGTAGCAATTCCTACTGATATCTTCGTTGCGTTTCCGTTCATCTCAATCTGGTTCTGCTTCTGAGCCCAACCTTAAGGAGGCAACATGTATATGTTCGGTCCACAACGATACTGACGCCAGGTGAATAGGTTTGACTGGGCGGTGAAAGAGTTGTAGCGTGTCATGAGAATATGCGCCCTGTTGCGGTTCTAAGGGTGGCATTCTGCAGGAACGAATATTTTCTCACTGCGTAGCGTTAACGTTAGTGGACCACACCCAAGCCGGCTTATCGCTTTGTAAGAGGTAAACTTGTTCCTACTCCTAATCTTATCGCAGATAGCTGTTTGAGAGGACGAACGGCTTGAAAAAGCTTTCAAATGTGACCCCTAAGACCTGGGGTAATTGGTGGTCAGAATTAAAACACCATCGATCTGCACATTTAGTGATAGCCTCATCTCTTCTGTCCATGTGGTGAAAAGTGTGGTCATCGATTTTGTGGCGGATATTTTCATATTCCTTGCAGTGGAAAAGACAGTTAGATGAACCTAATAAGTGTTCAATTTTAGCATACAAAGATTACATTGACTTCGACAACATATGAGAAATATCTCACCCACCATCTCAAACTGAGAAAGCCCAATATTCTGTACAAATGCTCAGGTTACAGCCTGGGAGAGGCTTTGAAATCGGGTAGAATTATTGAGAAATTTCTTTGCTTGTTAAATGTCTACGCTTAGTGACGGAAAAGCAGACGACCATAATGTTTACTGTACATTGTAAAGTTTTGTTATAAGAAGAAGTAAGAATAAATTAAGTTCCTTTAAACCATGGGGTAAACAACACCGCCCAGGTTATCATTTATCGCAGTTTTCCGTGGCACATTTTTGTGATGAGACGAGCAGTTAAGGTTGCATGATACATTCTGCTTACACCTGCTCCATTTCATTCTTATTTTTTATAAATAAATTATTGCAATAATGGTTAAATCCGGTAAGTGACTGAGACAATAAGCACAATTATTTTTAAACTTATTTGATAATTAATAGCGTTTTAACTCTAAGAAGACCAGACGGATCAGCTGGTCGATTTCACTGGACACTGACATTGTTCTGTTTCTATCTTTAAATGGTACCTTGTTTTTTAGGGACATTTTAGAAGAGGTTTTTTCCATAAGTTATTCACGAGACCAAAAATAATGTGTCTATTTACCGCATTTTTAGCAAAATGTGTTTAGATCGAACAGACGACATCGAAAACAATTTATACAAAACTGTGACCCCCAAACATTTTAGCCCAATAATCCACAATCGGAAATAATTGGCAGAATTAAAACACACAGTTATTTTTTATACATTTAAGTTTTACATGTCTTCGGGTTTCTTTTTAGGCATACATATATACTCTTGTTGTGTACAGTAAAATTATTTAATAATAACTATTATATTTATAATGCAACACGATATATGTATTTCTAGACGTAAGATGGCGTAACGAGAGCGATTAATGGTATAACAAACAAAACTATGAATGGTTGTCGTTGTAAACAAACAAATCGAAATCAAATCACAGGTTTTAAGCAATGTTGCACAGTATTTAACTTATGTCTATCTATGTGGTTCGTGTGTGTTCGGATGGATCGATAAGATGTGGTTCCTCGCTCGTTAACTAGACATGTTGTTTTAAACGAAAATCATGAGTAAAATGAGAAATAATCAAATGTAACAGTCGGGGGATTTGTCATGAACAATTTTACTAACTACCTAAAAAAACTAACCTCTTCAAGATGTGCTAATGAGAACTTCTATGTCCTTTCCCCAATTGCTGCTAATCATTCGAAATGCATTCAAACATGTGAACGGCAAACAAGTTAAGTGGCCAAGCCCACAAGAATGTGAATGTTGAGATAATTCCTTGCTAATGACCTTAACCTCAGATTTATGTTTGAATGTATTTCGAAACGCATAACAATAAATTAATGTTTGCAACATTTATATTACTTGATGCATTAAGCTTTAAACTAATGAGTACCCAAGTACCGTTAGCGTATTTTGCCTAAATGTCTATGACTTTTATGATACCTAGCGCGACATTGATTTGTATAAGATTAACAGGTGACGGAGTACATATATGACTACATAAGACTATGGTCGTTTGGAATGAATTATTGGCCAAGTTTGGCAGGACTCAGCAAAATCTCAGGTTCAAATTTACCTAATGGAGTAGGTAATGACGAGGAAACAGAGAATGACGTGGAACCAACCAGGCTGTTGGGCGAGAGCGTCGACGAACTTCCTGAATATGTGGAAGATAACATGGTAGATGCTGGAAACTTTAATATCGGGTTTCCTTGAGGCGTTTCGCTGCTTTTTACGTCAGAGCCACATATCGTTCGGCCCATAAATGTTTCGTCAACCACTTGGCCTGGCATTATTTGCTGATTAATCGGAGAGGATGGATCTGTCTGTTTAGAAAAAGATGGTGCTGTAGAAGGTTGCGTTGGAAGTGGGCTTGACGTAATCGACTTTGTCAAAGAAATTGTGGGGGCTGATGAGGGCAAGGCATATGTGGATGTCGACGCTGTCAGCATTGACAGTGGCATTGCAAGAGGCCCTCGCACTAGGTTCTCTGTTCGCTCGGAGTTTCCACGAGACGAAGCAGCAGCAGCTAATGCCGCGGCGTAAGTACTCGCTGTACTAGTTGAATGATACGATTCAGTTTTTTGTTTGATGCTGTTTATAACGTTAGTACTGTGTATTGTAGGTATATCTGCGGATTCGGGCGGTGAAAGATGTGTGGAAACTGAGGACTGACAGGTCCTTCTGGTAGCTGCTGACGTAGTGGTTGGATTTAAAGATGGGCGCATTTCTTTTTCCAAATTAGGATTTCTTACAAATATTAGAGATGTTTCCATTTGCTGATCATTCGTCTCATCATTTGAAGACATTGGTTGCTGCCCATTGTGTAGTAGTAAAGAAGCGGCTGAGTTTTGCTGGTGGACTGAAACACGTTGACGCGACAATTTGTTACTGTTGAAACCGCTAACCGGAGTAGTAGTGTTATCCCCAAGATTGGTGGGAGGAGCATTGTGAACGGCAGTACTCTCATTACATTCCGTTTCGTCTTTCGTTGCACTTTTATTTTTTGCATTTGATTTGCTTGTCCTGCTGGAATTGGCAACATCAAGTTTTTCTAAAAAAAAAAAAACACACACACACATCAAATACACGGGAATTACAACAAAGATCAACTTACAAAACAACATTTATTATATGTAAAATATGATACATTAATGAATGACTATTCTCAGGTTTTATCCCCTCCGCGTCCGACTTCTGTTTTTAAAGTTTTTGAATTTCAATGGTAAGGCAATTCTATTAGCCCATCGAATCGACCCCTTTTGCTGCCGCAATACTTATGGTGTTTTTGGGTTTGTTTAGTTCAGAATTTGATTTGATGATTTTAACCCAAACAATTGTTTTAATAAAGCGATAGTAAAATTTTGGCGATATAGTTACTCGCTTGTTATTAACTGAGTTTTTGCAAGGAAAAAGAAAAGTGAAGCACAGAGCCTAAGCCTGGCAAATTTTTATCGAAGTGGTTTAGATCAAAGTACGCTAAACATTAAATCTAATTGTACCCTCAGTCATTTGTCTACAGAGAATATATATCGTTTGAATCGAAATAACGATTTTAGACCATAGGTCTCTTTGGACCGAATCCGTGAAAATATTTGGAGTCGATCTAGAGGTGTCCATCTGTCTGGCTGCCGATTTGGTCCACGTGCTGGCAAGGAGTATCCCATTTGGTCCAAAGTTGGGGCATATTAAGCAACTTTGTAACTCATGTCTAATGCAACAAGTATATATAGTCTCGATCAACGTAAAATTAAAAATCGATGTCAGTCTATTGCAATCACGTTATTTTTCGAACAAAATGAGATAGAAGACTAAAATTTTGCACACATGTGTGTTTTGTCAATAGGCAGGTTGTTTATGGATCAGGTCGGTCCACGTTTTCGAATATCCACCATCCGATTTTATTCACCGTTTTGTCGGTGCAGACCCACGTCTTCGAATAGCCCCTATACAACGGTACCTCCCAATATTGGGTACTTTTATGGTATTAGAGACATTATATATTTTAAATTTCGTATTTTAAGTTCGTAATGGGTTCTACAGCCTATGGCAAAAAATTGTGTATGCAGGTCCTCGTCTTCGTGTAGCCCCAAACAATGGTATCTTCCAATATTCGGTATTTTTATGGTATTAGAAACAATATAGATCGGAATTGTTTCAAATTTCGTACTTTAAGTTCGTAATGGGTACTGCAGCCTATGACAAAAAATTACCTATACAGGTCAAGGTCTTCGTATTGTCACAATATACCGACCCTCCCGATATTCGGTATATATCGATACCTCCCGATATCCGGATTTTATAATATAGTTGATATTATAAAATATATTTATATTATGTTTTAAGTTTCATATGTGAAGGTCCTTCTATTCGAGGAGACATGTTTTGGCCGTATCAAAAGATGTATAGCCATATCGCAGAGGGTATAAAACCCAAGCAAATTTGTTATAAAATATAAAAAAAAAAACAATGAATTTATAGACCGAATACCGTTGAAAATAGTTTATATTCAGCGTTTCGGTAAATACCCGCCATTTTTACCCAGTAGTAAACTCTACCCATGCTTCAATTTTATAGCCACATAAAAAAGTTTGAGTACTCATACAAGCAAAACATCAGTTAGAAGGTACTATTTGCTCAAGACCCGACTCCAATCTAATTGGAATTGGGCTATTAATTAAAATAACAGAATAACAACGGGGCGTCACCTTTGATTGTTTTCCATCTGTTTTTGCTTTTGTCCTCTTAAAAAAACACTACCTCAGTTATACTTACCGGCTACGACTTCTGGCTCTTTTATTATGGGAACTATCCGGTTTGTCATAGGCTTCTGCTCGTTTTGCATGAATAACGAAGTGGTTGCAATCTGTCGTAATGCTTCCATGCCTTCATTTAGCATTTTACTGTTAGACCTCTTATGTCCAGCGCGGGACTAATGGAACCATGAAAATAATATATATCAAACCGTATGTAAATATTTTAACTTAGAAACACATACCTGTTGGCCTGGAGCTCGTGTGATGGAAACACGTTTAATTTCACCCCGTAACAGGGATGTGGTGTAATCGGCATCTATTTTATTTCCATTTTTCTTTCGATCATTTTTCTTATTCGCTATACAGTGTGATGGACAAATACAGAACAAAATCCTCAGCATGCAACACACGAAACCTAGGCCTGCAGGGGACAATTTTATATCGTATTTGTTATATAGGCTGGTAAGATTTGAATCAGGCATTACCGATGAGTGATGGTCCTATGAGACGCAGCTCAACAGTTTTAAATCCCTTCTCGCCGGTTCCAACAAATGCGATAACAAGTCCCAAAGCTATGGTACCCAGTCCTACGTAAAGAAATGCATTTGCGAATGTACTTGGACCCCTTAAGACGCCCAGAAAATCCTCGTCGTCCGAGGAGCCGCCCAAAGAGGCATCTTGTATCTGTCAACGATAGAATGCAGTCAGAACGTATCAGGCCACAGCTCCGTTTTGCGATAGTAACACAACTATCTTGCGACTTACCCGATTTCTCTTTACCCATCTCCGGTGGCAAGTTGCTTGTTGTTGTGCTTCCTGTACACTGCAACGACGTCCGCGCTCCAACCAAGCAGCTCTTCCCTGAGCACACTAGTTCGCAGCAAAGCGGCACAGATTAAAAAATACAAAAGGCATTAGTTTCTATTCCAATGAAATGGACTATCCATAAAAAACGTGTCGGCATGTTAACAATCATTACGCACAAACAAAACCAAAAACGAGTACACATATTTAAGTAAGTATGTTTCATATGCCCGAACATCGTAAGCAAAATAGTATTCAATATTCCAGAATTTTACAAAAAAAAAAAGGAAAAAAAATGAGAAAAAAGAAAAAACATATACACATAAATGCAGAATACATAATAATACATGCAGACATATATATCAAGTACGAATGCAGTTTCATGTCCATATAAAATATATAGTCCCTTCGAACGCGTGCATACGTACGTGCATAAATGAATGCAAAGGAGTTTGTGCCCATATATCGATGTATGTATGTATGTATGTACGCGTATAGCCCCCAAAAAATTCTTATTTCGGCGTTGAAAATTGAAAATGCGGCTAAACATACGCATTGGCTCATTAAAATAAAAGTAAATGGGGTACAACAAAAGAATACAGAACGATGAGATACAAAATACGACATCATATATTACACAGCTGTTAGAAAATATGCTACTTTATTTAGAACTTTGCATTCTTTACAATTCTGGAAGTCTGAAGGACAATAATTCTCAGTACCGAAGCGATTTTCCTTTTTTGGATTTGTTTTTAAAACTTTTGAACATTTAGAACTTATATAGCCGCTGCCGCATGGTATAATAAAATAAAGGTAAATATTATTATTTTTTTTATTTTCTTGGCTTAATATGTCAGCATTATTTGTTTATATGTGTGTTTCTTTTCACTAAATATTCAAATTCGGATGTTTTCAATATGCTTATTGCAACGTATACATCGACAAAATCTACAGTTTTTGTAGCGATATAAACCTTTAGAGATATATAGAACATGATTTAAAAAACAATAGTTGACCTTTCATTTAGTTTTCGCGGTTTTCAATTATACATTCAAAATCAATGCAACAAGTTGTGTGATTTTCTGATTGTTTTGATAGTAGTTCTGATATTACAAGCCAAACGGATAGACCTCTGTACTTGCAATTTTTCAAAGTTAGCCTAACTGGTCTTCATTGTACCATGGCTGCAGCTAAGTTTGCCTTTAATGCTACACTGGAACTTACGGCCTGTTTCCCAATGTCTTGCGCTGTCGATGCAAAATACCATTGGCCGAGAAGCGAATTTAGAGGAGTACTTGTTAGACCCTAAACAGGTTGAATTTAAAATTTTTTCACGTCAGTGTTTACGGGATATAGTCTAGCCCTCGCACGCCGTATATGGGACTACATATGATATATGCATGTATGTATGTACCTTTTCTTGTCTATATATTTGCATGTTACTTATATAAAATGCAACGCATGCGAACTATATGTATTTTGAGAAAATAACAAATAGCGACAGTTAAGATGGCAGACAGAAGTTGTTCAATTTATATGCATAGTTAAAGAGATTATATTGTATAGGTATTAATAAGACATGAGATCTTGGCCGATTTCGTCTTATGCAAGAACGCCCACGTTGTTATCAGCTGGTGGGTTGGCCGATCTGCTGTGAAATATGCGCATGCGCGTATCTCATCCAATAATAAAATATGATATGCAAGCAAAGCATCTAGTGAGCTTATCTTATCACACGAACGCTGTCAATGCCACGGCAAAACCAATGAAAATAAACCATAGAGAGATCAAAAATGTATCTGATTAACATGCAAGTCGATTGTAGACTCATGCGACAAGCAACGTTTATTGATTTTTTAAATTCGTTATATATATAGAGATATTATGTACATATGTAGTTGATGTTATTCTGTAGACGTACGTATGTTTATGCAGAATTGGCCTCAAGTGTCATTCATTTTATGGTGCACTTAGCAAGGTTTTGAAATTAAAAACAAAATCTCATGGTGCTCATGTGAACGTATTCGATTGTGTGTGTGTGATTGTATGCTTGTGGCTCTGATATCGATATGATATAAATGGTGAATATTTGGTTTACATCTGCACTTGAACAATTTCAAATCGTTAGGCTATTGGTAAGCTTAAATGCCAAAATCAAATATAATATTAATAAGAGTTGCGTCCTTCCTAAATCACAAATCGCTGCATTTCTCTTTGGACTTCATTGTAAGACCTGTAATGTTTTTTTTTTCTTCTTCAAATAAAAATGCATTTATCACTACAGACTGCAGTATGTTAGGAAGCCGACTAATAAACGGAGTCTCCGATGGGACAGTATGTCTGTTTGTTTGAGTTATTTTATTAAATACAGAACATTATTATTATGACCCAATCGCTAAACATTCCAATCGGAATAGGATATTTGAAGGAAACAATTTATTAATGGCTGTCCCTCACATTCAAACAAGTGCAACTTTCCCGTCCATTTCCCATAAATCGAATAAATATGACTGATTGATTGGATCCGCATCGAAATAAAAGGACATTTCGTTTACATCTTACAGACATAGTGCTATTTATGCCATTGCCGAAACCAATTGAATAAATATTTTTTCCTGACTGCTCAATTAAAATGGCCTACACACCAACGCTCTGATGTTTGCTTAGACTGTGGCTGATAATACCACTCTTAGCTTAAGTATCCACTCTTACTGTGAAAATCTTTTGATGTGATGATTAGACGGAAGGCTGTCTGCATTGCTCATGGCACAAGTGCATTGTGAAATCTATTCTGACATTATGACAATGATAAAATCAATTCTATGCAGTTTTTCAAGTACAGGCGGCTTTTTCTTCCACGTTTACCGTTTTCGATGAAACGGAGGTTGTAAAACACATTGCTTTGCTGAGATGTCACGTAAAGGGCGTTCGAAAGATATAAATCGTATACGATAGCAGCCATCGCTACAAATACACTTTTCACATAATGTTATGCAGGAACGACACTTGATATGGATTATACATATTTAAATGGGAAAACCAGTGCAATGTTTGTTTTTGAGTATCGCAAAATACTTGGTTTTGCGATAAACTGTGGAACACGAAAGGAATGTAAAAGAAATCGAATCGAATCGAATTTTTTCTTGGAACAAACATAAAAATAATGTCTATCTTAAATAGGTGCTAAATAGGAATGCTTCGGCATCACTACATTGACAATATTAAGGGAATACGGGCAACCCATTGCGGACCCTTTCGTTTGCAAACAAACTAAAGTGGCGTAACACTCGCCCGAAGTACTGTCTTCACTGACAACTTCTTGCGGTGCTTACAATGAACGACATTCGCAGTGTGGGTGTTTTCAACACGTGTCGATTTAGAATGCCAAATATGTTATGCCAATTAACATCATGAAGTATGGATCTTTTAACTGTATACAAATCCAAGCCGAGGATCGGTGATTATTTCTGTTCTGACATAAGTGTGGGCAATATTTTTGGCTTTTTTAGCATAATGTCTAATGGTGCATGGACTGTTTTTGTTGTAGACAAAAATTATAGAACAGGTGTCACCGAATTCATAGGAAACAGTATTTATTGTAACATGTACGAGATGTAGATAAATTTAAGCCTTTGCTGTAATTCGATGTACGCCCCATTATCGTATGCACATTTATTTCAGATTTCACCGCCTAAAGTCATCGGTATCGAATTATTTACATGTCTGTTTTATGTCTGTTGTATGAATGTTACTGTATCGTACGTACGTATGTATACATTGGTACATTGCATAGGTAATTACAACAATAGCTGGACACCAAAGAAATGCTATTTAATATTTTCTATAAAATAAAACTAGATTAATTTTATACCTAAGGCGCGATGGAGGAGATGACCATAGTAATGCGGACTACATCGAATTGGATAACCTAGTCTTTGAATGTGAATAAATTTATATTTGCTATTTTGAATCTGTCGGTCCGCCATTGCATTTGCTGGCGTCGCAACGAGGAGGCAATGCAGAGATAACAACATAATGATATGCGCTAAAAGAAACTTGCGCCCACATAGGGGGCACGACGCAACACTTCCTCCAGGACATGACAACAATGCGTGCTTAGAAAAATATACGAAAAAGTAGATGAGAAAAATCTAAGGAACGAAAGCAAAAAGGAAAAACAACAAAATGCAAAATGTTGAAATGAGTAAAACGATGAAGGAATAACTATTTGTATGTGAGTAGTGTTTTTAAGCGCAGTCTGGTAAATCGGCAGTCAATGATTGAGAATTTAGTAGAAAGTGATTTAGTAGAAATAAAAATAGTATAATGGCTTTGTTATAATCTGTAAACAGCGGATAAAATATCATCCATTTGGACATGATGAGACGGTCTTTGGCTGGCCGGTGGCCCATTTGCCAACGAATACACAAAATACGAGTACATATACAGGGATCGATCATCAATACTAACCAGATGTGTTTTCACAACGTGTGTAAACTACATGTGTGTATGTGTGGTTGGGTGTGTGTTGGCTATGAGTAGATATGTATGTACGTGTGTATGAGTATTAAAAAGTAACAGCATTCCTCCTATGAATCCTAAGGACAATTTTAGTAATGATACATTTCTATGCAGCTATAAGTTTTGGAAACATGTTCGTCGTTTGAAGATCGATTATACACAACAATTCAGACGAAATCTTGGGAGATTTGCCACAAAAGTTCTAAGCTTTACACTTGTTGAGGGTTTGTTGATCGAGTTGGGGATTTGAGAGTAACGAGTTATTATAATACATACGCATAACAGTTCCACACAACGAATGTATTTTCACCAATTCTAAGGGCCATCATCAACAGACGAGATCGAATTAGGGGGAGGAGGATTGGGTCGCATTCCTTGACAATCCTCTTGGCGGTCGCTACAACTTACCCGTCGGTGTTGGCTTAAACTTAAAACAAGTCATTTTCGTGTATATTCTTACTGTCGTGAGATTTTGCTGTCGACGCAAGGCGGAATACATTTTCGATAGGTCGCTCTTCCGCATACTTACACGCACACACACACAC